TTTGGTAGTGAGCACTATTAATATGACATATGATATATGATATAACAGAAAAAATGACTCTCTCTTATGCAGTCTCCAGTTATGATTATATGCTCCTGGAATGTCCAGCAGTTGAGGGAACCTGTAAAGAGAACAGCAGTTTTTCTACGAAAACTACATATTTATTGAGATGAATGTGAGTACAACACCTCCAGGGGTGGTTAGGGACAACCCTAAAGTGGAATATTGATACAACAGGTATCGAAAATTAAGGGACATACTAAAGAGCAAGAGCTATCCATTACAGAGGAGGTTACAGCAGTGGAAATACAGTATATGGACTCTGTCTCCTAGTGAACTCCTTGACTGGGTAAACAAAGAAGGAGTATAAACAAATGGTCATAAAAGGCAGAGAATATAATTAGTTAAAAAACAGCAGTCTTATGAAGAGGGAGAGAATGTGGAACATATTGTAGCCCTTATGGTAAGAGCAAATATACCCACTATCTGTTATATCTGCTATTAGTATAGGGAAAAGCCATGGGGTTACCAAACCTGCTCAAATATACAAAGCTACGGTTTTAAAATCATTCCAAGAACTAAGGGAGGAGTATGATATCTCAAGCCAATCCTTTTTTACGTTAGACATGCCTTGGGCATGCAATTTAAAGAAAGGTTATTGGAATGAAACAAAGCGTCAAGCAGGGTCATCCGAAGAACCGATTTCAGATCTTTATGCGAATATATGTGATGTGGCAATAGGGGGAATGAGGAACGTCCTTGTAGGAATTGGTGGGTTGGAAGACCTAGGAAATAGAACAGAGCAGCAGTGGAAGCAAATATTGGAGCTAGGTCCATTAGTATCCCTGTCTCCATCACAAAGAATATCTCACTTATTTTTGTTGTACAGGGCATATTGTACCCCCCAGATATTGTTTACTGGCGTGGAGGCCAGATGCCAAATGCCCACGATGTGGGGACCTCATGCATATCATCTGGAGGTGCCCAAAATTGTACAGATATTGGTGGGAGGTTATTGGCACAATAAACTCAGCTTTCAGGGAATCTCCTAATTTAGACCCAATGTTATGTATACTGGATATATGGAGGGGGATAGAGCACCAGTTGGCACACTGGAAGGAAAAAAAGCACAGAGGGTTAGAAAGTAGCACACTAAATGTGTAAAAAGGTATAATTTAAATATTTTTACGTAAAAAGTTGTGAATAAATGTGGTTTGTGGAATGTATGTATAAAACTTTTCAATAAAGAATATTTGATTTATTATTATACAGGATTTATATAGCGCCAACCGTTTATGCAGCGCTTTACAATATAAGGGAGACAGTACAATACATTTCAGTACAGAAGGAATATGAGGGCCCTGCTCATGAAGCTTACAATCTAAAAGGAAGGGGAGGTGATACAAAAGGTGATAGCTGCAGGGAATGATCTGGTGGTGGTAATTCAAGTACAGTTCTTAGGTGGAGGTGGGGTAGGCTTCCCTGAATAAGTGAGTTTTCAAAGATCACCTAAAGGCAGACAGGGTGGGGGCTGACTGGACATACTGTGGTAGGGAGTTCCAGAGGATGGGAGAGGCTCTGGAGAAGTCCTGGAGGTGAGCGTGGGAGGAGGTGATGAAGGAGCTAGAGAGAAAGATATCTTGGGAGGAGCGGAGTGGAGTGGGATTTAAAAAATAAGTAGCTGTTTGAGAGCCAAAGATTAACATTCAGTCACATCTATTGAAGGTCGGTACAAATCTCACTACACATCATACAAACTTTGGCTGCCAGATGTTGCTACATTTGATATGTAGGTGTGTCTTCCTTTGCATGAGATCACACACACAGTCTTGTTTTGGCTAGGGCTATGCAAAACACAATATGAACTCTGCTGTTCAAGCAGGCCATTAGAATTATATTCTAAACAGAAATCTATTTGAATTACTACCATTTCTTTTAAGCAATTTAAATAGAAACAAAAACCAGGGAATTACTACATGAGTGTATACAGGTTGACTAGTTGTTTGGTTAGAGAGTCATCACTTCAAATATTTGTTTCACCATTTTTTTACCAAGGATATCCAAACACTTTAATAAAGAAAACTGCTAGATGTCTACTTTGATCTGCACCTAACACTGAAGACAACGGCTGCATTAATAACAGTGTTTATTGAAAAGTAAATAACCAGTAACAGAACTTCACAGGAAAGTGCTGGTGTTGTCTGGACAGTTGAGATCTCTTAAATCTGAGCTTACACTGCCCCACTGTGTAGAAAGACAATGCTGAGCACCACGGCAAGGTTACATGAGGATACAGATCTTGTTCCGCTGAGAACATGGTAGAATAGTACATGAATGAGATAAGCTGTGTGGAAACCACCACGTCACTGTTTCAATGTTCAGCTACAGTTTGGCAAGTTCTTTAATAAACATTAGCAGTTTGTACTGGGAGAACAGGCCTAGCATTTAAACAAACCAACACACATATGAAGCTATTAAAAAATATATCACATAATATGTATTCTCTCAGTCTTCGTTCACACAGGTGGTTTGGGCGCATTTTATTTTTTACATTTATTACTTATGTAATGCATTCAAGTTATCACACACACACCCCTCAAGGAGCTTACAAACTACAGTAAGGTCCCCAACTCACATTCATACATAAACATACTAGGATCAATTTAGACAGAAAATTATCCTACCAGCAGGTCTTTGGAGTGTGGGGGAGAAACCGGAGTACCCAGGAGGAATCCCATGCAGGCACAGGGAGAACATGTAAACTCCAGGCAGGTAGTGCCGTGGTTAGGATTCGAACCAACGACCCTAGAAGTGCAAACCACTCAGCCACTGTGCTGCCTCACATTGTTACCTCTTGCTGATGGTCTACTGATGCTACTCACAATAGTTAAATCAGGGAGCAAATGGAGGTATACACACATGCAGGGGCGGAGTGACAACTCATGGGGCCCCCGGGCAATAGGGGATCATGGTGCCCGTGTCCTTGCTCAAACTCAAAAAAAGACTATGAAAACGGTACCAGGGGCATCTCATGGGGCTCCCCTACTGACCTCGGGCACTGCCAGAGTTTCCAAATGGTCAGTCCGCCCCTGCACACATGGCAGCGTTCGCATTGCCTGCAGAGTTAGGTAGGCATCGGCACATTACAATCATCTTAATTCACGTCATTTGAAATGCAGTACAACACGTGCCGTAAAAGCACTAAGGTATTTACAGTGCATTTAAGCAGTGGTTGTACAGCATCAAAAGTGATAATTTCCCATTTCAGCATTATATATAAAAAAAAAAAAAAAAAAAAAAAAAAAAAAAAAATGAAAAAGAAAAAAAAGGAGCAAAGGGCATGTGAGGAGCGTCACTTGGAGTGGCCTAAAGAATAAATCTGGCCCAAAATTTTTATTTTCCCATGCAGTGGGGCTGTGCCTGCACTACATGGGTTAAATGCTCGTTTTTGTCTAGGGGTTTGTAAAGCTCAGATACACTAACCTAAAACCACTGATCCAAGCGCAAGACCAGTCCCCGCCGCTCCTGCCCCCGCTAGCGGTCTTGTGAATGGGCTTTTCCTGATGTCTTCACGCCCATAGACCAGCTCCGGAAGGGAGTACGGCCGTAATAGTCCACCGCTGGACGTGGGGGAACACAGTTTTCTACAGGATTGGAGGGTGGGGCAAGTATAGCTTTTCCTTGAGCCCCTCCAAACTGCGGCCCGAGGGCTGGATATGGCCCTTTGCTACCCTTTATCTGGCACTTGAAGCACTATTCTCCCCACTGAGACCAACAATGGGGCAGTACTTCCATTGAAATCAAAGATGGTGTACTATTCTTCCAACTAATACCAATGATGGGGCACTACAGCTCCTCCTACTGACCATCAACCCATAGGCCATGTTCACTAACTGATGCTGAGACCAGGACATCTTCTACCCCCGCTGGCCCTAATCCGGCCCTCCTAAAGTCTGAAGGGCAGGATACTGGTTCTTCGTTTGAAAGGTTTGGAGATCCCTGCCCTGGACAAAACAAGCAGTTAACCCATGCAGTGCAGTCACAGCCCCACTGCATGGGAAAATAAAAAATGTACTTAGAGTTCTGCTTTAAATATCTGGGCAAAGTCTGAATTCTAAAGAGGCCTTTAACACACTTAAGAGCGTTTCAACTTCTGCCTAAGGCTTCATGCACACTGGGGTTCTTCAAAGCTGCAGAAAATGCTCCTATACTGCGTTTTTTGAAACGTGCTTAGGAGCGTCAAGCCCTTGGGCATTTTTTCTTTTCAATGGCCAGAATAAATTAATATTCTGGCCAATTAAATTAATAAACGCTCATGCGCTAAAGGCGCCTAGCGCCAACACAGGTTTACCTGCATTTAAGAGTGTCAGACATTTTTTTTTTCTGACTAAACACTCCTCTCGTGGGTCAAAAGAGTGCACCAATCAGCCATCAGCAGACAATAGCTCACTATAGGCTGATGTCACAGAGCCTCTCTAGGCTCTGGAAGAATCCCGACCATAATTGTAGGGATCCACCCAGAAGCCTGATTGACAGCTGGCTCTGTCTCTCATCACACAGCTGAGAGCCAAAGACAGTTGCACCTGCCCCCTCCTCTATCTAGAGCTCTAGTGTGAACGCTGGAGGGGCAGAGCAGAGAGCTGTGACTAACAGCTACCACTCTCTGCTTCAGTATTTTTTTTTTATAACCCAATACATCTCCTGTAAACATTTCTGCACAGTTAAATGAATGGTATGTAGTAAATAGTAGGAGATTAACACACGCACACGTTAAAAAGGGCGTAAAAAAAAAGGAGTAAAAACTACTAGAATTTAATAGAAAATGTAGTCATCTATGAAAATTGTGTACCAGAAGCACCCTGTATTAAATGTGTATAACTATTTTATGCAAGCAATGAAAAATTAGGGTATAAAACATCAGCAATAAATATGTGAATGAACATCAATTTATAAATTTATACAAACAAAAAACAGTCAAACAAAATTCTGGTGCCCCTTACCTCTCCTGTGCAATAAAAGTCATTTTTATGATATTCTGGGTAGATCTGAAAAAATTGCGTGAGTGCACTAAAAGAGGGAACACAAATAAAACAAAAAAGGAAGCAGCGGTTACACAGACTATTCAATTAAGCATGGCTCTGACCTTCATTCTTTCAAAGAGAGAACCTTTTTTCACTTAAAGTATATCTATGGCCTCCTTTTGACAAATATGTGCTTTAGGACTTAATAGATGCATCTGCACCTATTGTTTTCTCTTAGTCCCCCTGCATGCCCAACAACCTGTTGATCCTGTCAGTGAAGTCCACCTTAACCATTAGCCGCTCGGCCAATGGCCGTTTGGCGGCTTCAGATGTGCCTCTTCATTCCGGGTGCACGCCATTTGGCGTGCTCCCGCACATGCGCCGTTTGCGGTAATGTAGAGCGGCGCAGCAGCGGGATCTTTCACGGGCCGTGCACCTCGGACAAGGCCGATGACAGATCCGAGTACCGGCTCCCGTTGCTGGTACCATGTGACCTGCTGTGACCAATCACAGCAGGTCACATGACAGTTGTATACAATGGATGGCTTCATTCATGATGCCATCCATTGTATACTAGTGCCTAGCTGTGAATGGTCACAGCTAATCACATGCACATGTCATGTGATTAGCTGTGACCAAATCACAGCCAAGCACAAAAAAAAAAAAAAAAAAAAATACTGATCACTTCCTCAAAAGTAGTACAGTGTTACTATGGTAACATTGTACTACTTTGGTCATAGTAAAATATGAAAAAAAAATCTTAAAAAAAAAAAAAGTAATAAAAAATTAAATATAATAAAAAAAAAAAAAAAAATATATATATATATATTTTTTTTTTCATACTGTCACCAGTCAGTGTCCCTGTTAACCGCCATGCCAGTTATATGATGACGCTGTACTGCACTGGTGACAGTATGTAAAAAAAAAAAAAAATAGTGAAAATAATTTTTTTAATTTTTTCATTTTCCGAAAAATTATGACATAAAAATACAACTTCAAAAAACTCGCCATGCCTCTTATGAAGTACGTCGGACTGTCTACTCTGCAAAAAGGGGTCATTTGGGGGATATCTGTACTGTTCTGACATTCTTGGACCTCAAGAAATTAGATTGGCTGTCAGTACTTCAGGATTGATCAATATTCAGATCTATACCATAGTTTGTGAACTCTATAACTTTCCTACAAACTAAAAAATACATCCTAATTTGGGTTATTTGCACCAAAGACATGTAGCAGAATACATCTCGGCCTAAATTTATGAAGAACAATTATTTATTTGTAAACAGAAACAAAGAAAAATGTGTTTTTTTCAAAATTTTTGGTCTTTTTTTGTTAATTTAGCAAAAAATAAAAACCCCAGCGGTGATTAAATACCACCAAAAGAAAGCTCTAGTTGTGTGAAGAAAAAGATAAAATTTTAGTTTGGGTACAGTGTTGTATGACCGCGCAATTGTCATTCAAAGTGTGAGAGCGCTGAAACCTGAAAAATGGCCTGGGCAGGAAGGTGTAAAATTGCACGGTATTGAAATGGTTAATGCAGTTTCCTGTGATGGTGTGGAAACAATTCTGGACTGCTCCTGAATTCAGAGCACAGTTATCACTCTCCTATAGGCTTGGCCTGCTAGCACCACAATAGGATTAAAAAAAAAAATGGGGGGGGGGGGGGGGGGGAAAGAAGAAGGATAGGCAGACTCAATGAACCACTTTTTTCTGTTGTCACTTTTCTATGTTTCTATGAAAAAAAAGGCAGGATCATGTCTATCAGCATTGTCACTGCTGTTGCAGTCCCATTCACAGCTTTCTTGACTGACAGCACTGCCTCTGTTGAGGAACCCCACCCCCCACACTGAGCTGCAGTGTCTGGGAGAAAGTGTGTGAAACACAAATGAAGAATTTACCTAAGTCAGGAAAAGTAAATCAAGTTTGTTGCCCACTTTTTTGGGGTTTGTACATTGCAGAGTGAATGGATTTAGTACTTGTTTAGACTATCATACAAGGGCCTTTGGTTAAATATTGACTCAGATATTTCAGAGGGCAATGAAACTATTTTCACTCTGCTCACCCATGGCAGCATTCTACCTGCTGTATATACATATTTTCTGTAGATGGATCAAGGTTTGTAAATTTCACTACTCATCCAAGTCATTTTTTCAGTTTATCCTTCAACCACTTTGTTAAGTGATGAAATGTCTTCAACATTAAGGTCCTGTCAATTGCAAGTACTACTAGCTATACCAAGGCATGGATAAAATAAAACTTTAAAGACATAGTTTTACTATATTTTTCCAAAACATGGATGTACAAGAGGAGAAACATTTTAGAAATCTGGTGTGAAAGAATTATACAGGGCTCATTCACATGGGTGCTTAGCCCCACACAACATGTAGAGCCATTATAATGTGAATGGTGACCTATAGGATGTGAATCGGTACACATCACGTATATAGACTGACCTGCACAGACAACATTGACAGGTATCACCAACAGCAACACTAATCCCCTGCGCATAAGTGTAAGGGCTCAAAAGATTGTGAATGGTACTCCACTTTACATGTGTGATCACTTCAGGCCTTGCTGCCCTCTAGGACTGGGGATGTCCTGTAGTCACTATAAAAATGAATAAAAGAGGGCACACTAGCCTGGTGCATGATCACTCACCTAAGTACTTCTAGACTCAGCATGTCTCTGATAAAGGAGATTCCTTTGAAATGTGTCAGCCTGCAGGGACCCTGGTGAGGTAAAGGAGATCCCCGGCCAATGCCCTGCAGGTACCCTGGTGCAGGTCCCCCCCCCCCCCCCCCCTGCTCTGGAGACTGCAGAGTCTACAAATACTAAGCCACAGACAAGTGGCTCAATGAGCACTTTTTATTTCTATATTTCTGAGTAGTATTTACATTGCATTTCTAGTAACTTTGTGGGATACTGACAGGTATGGAGGGATAGGTGCACAGACCTTGATAAACTGGCTATGCCAATGTGAATGAGCCTATATATAGTCACATATATACATTAACGAAAGGTCAGAAAATAGTGTTTCTGAAGCAAATATTGTGGTAAAAACACATTTTTCATGCATAAAAAGGAATAGGATTAAAGCACACACCTGTACAGATCTCTTGCCACATCATCTTGATTCACTGCATAACCTCTATCATTTCCTGTGAAGCTGAAGCCTGTCCCAACCTTGCACAAAATAACGATAAATTACTGCATGCATGAAATAAAAACATTTACTAAAAAATTTCTTAATTTAAGCTTATGAGTCAAGCCTCTGCTAATGGGACTGTGACACAGATTTAAAAAAAAAAAAAAAAAAAAAAAAAAAATGCACATCCATGAATATGTATATACTGTATGAACACAATATTTCACTGCATCATATCTTCTACAACTTTGATAATTAATGTATACCTCTAAAAACACAACTAAAAAAAATGATATTTAATTGCTGTATTATCCAGAATGAAAATTAAAAAGGTTGATGTCAAAAAGCACTAACAATGATTATCTGTTACATTTTTAAACGCTACAAAGGGACCTTCAAAAATTAATACTTACTACCTATACTGCATGGAGAAGCATTAGAAATCCAACTTAATAAATACACTTTGGTGTTCAGATTTTAAGTGCCCACTTTTACAATATATATTATGATATTACTACATATATGTGATTAACACCTGCACTGGTGGTATTCCGTATAAATTTTCCAAAGATTAGTTTTCTGGGTGTTCCCTTTTCACATGGCAAGCTCATCCACTACTCATTGCATGACCAGGCAAGTTGATAATTACTTTCTGTGGGCAGCATAGTGTGGCACAATCATAGTGCTGAGTGTCAGTAGAGAACATTAGTAAATTAGCAAGAATTAACCAGCCAACGGGATAGCTCCCAACAGCACTACAATCTCCAGCGGTCCTGTACAGCAATTATTAAATAAATGTATCAAACTAGAACACCTTATAAAATCAAATGTTTGTTAAGTAGTTTAAGCAGGGAGGCCGTCTGAACAAGGGGGCAACAATCTAAAACAGTGGACCTCACGCTCTTGTTCCATGCAGTATTTTGGGTAATTTGCTTTGTTCCCTGTACTATGGATTGATGGTATATCCCTAACAGTCAGCAATAACTATAGGATTCATTTGTTTGGACTTGGCACCACATGTGGTATTCTGCTCAAACTATTATATGAGCATTTATTTTGACAGACACAATAATGTTGAAAAGTTCATCCTTAACAGTAACAATCACTTTCCACAGTTTGCCCACTTCACAACAGAGGGTAGGGATTTTTGACTTGCCTGTAAAAATCCTTTTCATGGAGTACTGTACAGGACCTGGGCTGCTTTTAATTTTGTCACCTTCAAGTGAGGACAATGGCAAAAGAAAGCACTTAGGACAGCCCATATAACCTCTCCGGCTCACAGCAATACTTCGATTTTTACTAAGAAATTAAAGGGAAACTTCAGGACAAAAGTGGAGGGTGGCCTGTGTCCTATGTTGTACTCCAAGCAAAGTTTTTTTACAGGTAAGTCGACAATCCCCATTTCTGAATTGTATAGTACAGGACACAAGGTCTTTTAATCATAGACCTTGAGAAGTCCCTAAGCAATACAACTTGGGGTTGAAGAGTGGTCATCACACAAATAATGCCTACACGCTTAAAAATAGGCGATTACATTTCCAAAATTCAAAGAGGATTGAAGCACCTTGCCAACAGGCTGGCAAAAGGCCTAGTGATGACCTCAGGATTTCTCTGAACTGATCTCTAGACAAAAGTCCTAACTCACATGCTTTACTCCAATGAGCTGTGGGCTGGGTCACCCCTATCCCACAGCTCACTTGAACAAAAAACAGCCTGCAGGGTTTGAATAACCCAGCTTGCAGCTCAATGGAGTAAAAAAAAAAAAAAAAAAAAACTCAAGTTCTCAAGTTTGATGTTTGGCTATTATTATACAGTATTTATAAAGCGCCAATAGTTCGCTCAGCGCTGTACATTACAAAGGGGGACAGAACATGTGACAGAACAATACCAATACAATGCAAAACATGAAGGGATTGAGGGCCCTGCTCTTTCGAGCTTACAATCTAGGAGGGAGGGGATGGTGGCTAGAGATAAGGTCAAGGGATGCCCAAGCTCTTCTTTACTAAGGTCACTAGCAAAAAAGTGGGATGTTATATGAGCTGTCCTAACAACTTTGACAGTATTCTCTCCTGTAGATGGCAGCATATATCCCATGGTTAAGATTTTAAGTCGTCTGTGTCCTGTATTGTAGAAAGAGATAAAACATCTGTAAAAACTCACCCCTTCCATGCTGTACAGTTGGCACCCTCCAATACCTGTAATAACCACTAATGCCCACTGCTCTGAGAGCCATCAGTGCCTGGAAATCTAGTTACTTCTGGGTATAGTACATGCCTACTTCTTCCCGGCCCGCCTACAAGGCACCGCTCAGGGCCAGAGTTGAAAAATTGTTTTTTAAAACAGAGCTTTGTAGGGCATTGGGGCAAGCAGATCATCAGAAATAAGTACGGGTGCCAAAGAGTGCTTACTGTACAGCACAGGGAGATTTGGTAAGTTTTGTTCTTGTACAAGTACATTTTCTTAAAATTCGTTTAGCCAAAGCTACCCAAAAATAGCAGTTTACTTTGAAATGGGCATCAGAAAATTAAAAACTACCTGTAGTATTTGCATCAATCTCTTTCAAAAATTGAAACCATGAATTTCCAGATGTACTTTCCCCCCCCCCAATTCAAATTTTGTATTCTCACCCCCCTTAAGAGACCTTATAAGACCAGAACAAACAAGTGTCGCCTTCTTCCAATAAGGCTGCCTTACTATATAATTATTTTACATTATAAAGAATTGTATTTGTTCGATTCCTTGATGATTTTTAATTGAGGTGAACTTTAAAGTTGAACTCAAGGCAAACTGCAAAATAAAGCAGATTAAATAAATGTCAAAGCAATGTATTTTGTTCCCCCCATTTATTCCTGAGATTTACAAATCTCTGCTAGACAGAACAGTCAGTCTGTCTACTGCAGTTAAGTAATATAACTAGATCTAGTCTTTTTCCCCAGCCTGGGATTGGGCAGATAAGGGGATGCAGGAAACCGATGAGCTCAACTCCCCGTTACTCTGCTCTCTCCTCCTGTCAGCGGGTTCAAAGTTAGCACAAGCACAGAAACACAACTGATTGGCTCCTGGAGCTGCTTCTCCTCCTCCCAGGCTAGGCTCCCATATACAGGAAATTGCAAGAGACAGATACCAAGTCACATTGCAGTGGTTACTTTTAAAAATACACTTTTAATATTTTTAATGAACATGTGCAAATGACACTAAACTCTAATTTAAAAAAAAAAATTATTCAAGCATGTCTCAACTCAAAATCTCTTTTCTCTTTTGGCACTTATAGTGTGCATAGAGCAGTACACGTGGGGGAAAGGAGAGGTTCAGGAGCTCACAGAGGACATCACAAAGTGGCAGGAAAACACAAAATGAAAAACAGATTACAGAACTATTAAGGAGTGAATGTGCATGGATTTTTTTTTGTTTGAATAATAAGGATATTGTTTAGTGTCACTTTTTTAGGCTTCTCTGCCTGGAGTTCAGCTTTAATTAAGACAGCATACAAGTTATTTACTTTAGAAGGCAAGACTTACGGGATTATCTATATACAGCATTGAATATTTGTTTGTCCAGGAAAATTCCCGATGAACCACTATAAGGACACAAGAACATGTGGTCAGTCATAAACAAAAATACAAGGAAAATAAAACTGACACGGCACAGCTGTTTCTACAAAAACACCAGATTCAGCTCAAGCCATGAACTCAAAAATCCACAAATAAATTCTACTGTGGATCACTGCTCATGTTTTATCATGACCTTTGCATGTTTTGGAATGTGAGAAGCATTAATTGAATTTGGAAACTGCACTTGTGACTTGTTGGACTATATTATAATCCTTTAGGGCTAATACACAAGAGTTACTTTACAATACTTTTAGTTAAACAACTTTAAAGAAAACCTGTACTGAAAGGATACCAAAACTACCACAGAGGAACCTTCTAAAAATGCTGGTTGCCTGGTTTCCGTGGTGATCCATTGACTTTAACAATTATTGGGATGGATTTACGATTACTATTATTATACAGTATTTATAAAGCGCCAACAGTTCGCTCAGCGCTGTACATTACAATGGGGGACAATACATGAGACCGTACAACAACAATACAGTGCGATACACGAGGGGTTTGAGGACCCTGCTCCTTGGAGCTTACAATCTAGGAGGGAAGGGATATTGGTACGGGAGGAAAAACTGTGAGGGATGGAGTGGTAGGAAGAGTGGAGGAGATCGGCAGTTAGAGGGAGGGGTAGGCTTCCCTGAAGAGGTGGGTTTTTAGGGTGCGCCTAAAGGAGAGGAGAGTGGGTGATAATCTGATGGATTGGGGTAGGGAGTTCCAGAGGATGGGTGATGCCCTGGAGAAGTCCTGGAGGCGGGCATGGGAGGAGGAGATCAGGGAACTAGAGAGAAGGAGGTCTTGTGAAGAGCGGAGAGTTTGTTTTGGGTGGTATTTGGATATTAGGTCGGTGATGTAGTTTTGGGCAGAACTATGGACAGCTTTGTACGTCAGTGTTAGCAGTTTGAATTTGATCCGTTGGGCAGTCTGGCCGCCGTATTCAGGATTGACTGAAGTGGGGATAGCCTGTTGTGAGGCAGGCCAGTGAGGAAGGAGTTGCAGTAATCGAGTCGTGATATGATGAGGGAGTAGATGAGCTGCTTAGTAGTTTCTAGGGTTAGGAATGGGCGTATTTTGGCGATGTTGTGGAGGTGGAGTCTGCATGAGTTTGTTAGCGATTGGACTTGGGGCTGGAAGGATAGATTGGAGTCTAGTATGACACCAAGTACTCTGGCTTGCGGGGTGGGTTTGATGGTGGCATGGTTGGACGTGATGGAGAAGTCATTGGGGGGAGACTAGGAGCTCAGTTTTGGAGAGGTTCAGTTTAAGGGAGTGGTGCGACATCCAATCTGATATGTTGTTCAGTAGGCTGGTGATTTGGGCGGAGACTGAAGGGGTGAGGCAAGGGGTCGAGAGATAGATTTGCATGTCGTCGGCATAGAGGTGGTAGTTGAAGCCATGAGAGTATATCAGTTGGCCAAGGGAGGAGGTGTAGATGGAGAAGAGAAGGGGCTCGAGGACAGAGCCTTGAGGAAGCCCAACAGAGAGGGGGAGTGGGGGGGGGAGGTGGTAGTGTTATAGGTAATGCTGAAGGAGCGTTGTGATAGGTAGGATGAGAGCCAGGAGAGAGCGGAGTCTCTGAGGCCAAGGGAGTGTAGTTTCTTGAGGAGGAGGGGGTGGTCGACTGTGTCGAACGCCGCAGAGAGGTCGAGGAGTAGGAGCAGTTAGCAGGTTGTTTGTGAGTTTGAGTAAGGCGGTTTCGGTGGAGTGTAGGGGACAGAAGCCGGACTGTAGGGGGGTCGAGGAGGTTGTTTTCATTAAGGTGGGAGCTTAGGCAAGCATAGACTAAGCGCTCAAGGAGTTTGGCTGTAAATGGCAGCAGGGAGATGGGTCTAAGGTTGTTCGGGTCGGTGGGGTCCAGGGAGGGCTTTTTAAGTATGGGAGTGATGTGTGCGTGCTTCAGAGAGGGAGAGATTAAAGATGTGGGTTAGGGAGCGTAGGATGGAGGAGTAGGGAGATCGTAGGAGTTGTGAGGGGAAAGGATCGAGGGGGCAGGTGATGAGGCGGGCTTCAGAGAAGACCTTGGTAACCTCCTCAGTGGTGGTGGGGTCAAAGGAATGGAGTGTTGTAGTGGCTACTGTGTGAGGGATGTTCGACTTGGTTAGATGGATGTTAGATGGGTGGAGGTCTGAACAGTGGTGAGGCCAAGGGGGAGGGGTGTTGAGGGGGTTGCTGTGTGAGAGGAGGTAGGTGGGGTGGAGGTCTGAGCAGCAGTGATGTCCCTGCGAATAGCGTCAATCTTATTTTTTAAGTGATTGGCAATCTCGAGGGCGGTGAGTGAGGTACTGGGTGGAGGTGGGGGCGGAGAGAGTAGAGAGTTGAAAGTGGAGAAGAGCTGACGAGGATTGGAGGAGAGGGCATTGATGAGGGTCAGAAAGTAGGCTTGTTTGGCAGTGTGGAGGGAGGAGGATCGAAATCCAAAGTTATACTTATTGGTAACGTCTTTTCCTGGAGTCTTTCAGGACAACCACCTGAGACCCCGTGGCTCCTCCATTCACAGTAAACACAGCATCAGCCCCCTTTAAATAATAAGCTCCCCTGCCAACTCCTCAGTTCTTCACGAGAAACTCTGGCCAGCTAGGGAGACACAAGAAAATACCACAAAATAGAACAGAAAATTATAGTAGCTCCTGTGTTGAAACCAGGTAGGATAAACCATCACATATCAGGGTGGGAACCGGTGCTGTCCTGAAAGACTTCTAAGAAAATACATTACCGGTAAGTGTAACTTTGTTTTGTTTTTTTTTAAACAAATAATTTGAGATTGTGGCACAAAAACAGATATTTCAAACATCTGCTGACTGTTGGGGAATAGATATCAGCAGTCATTTTGAATTTGAGACTATAGCTGTTAACTTTTCAGCATGTGGAAGCTTTAAGGCTAGGTTTACATCTATGCAGGTTGCAGTTGATGTGTTTTTCTGGTGCATTTGACGCGTTGTGCTTTTTTTTTGGCTATTAGGAAAGTATGACAGTTCTGTTCACATAGTGTGACTTTGATGTGACTTTACACTCTCTGGCACTCAAGCAGCATCAAAGTAGTATAAAAGTTACAACAAAGTTGCATCAAAGTAGTGCAGGAACCTTTACGTGTCCAAAGTCGCATATTAGGGTTAAAGTTTGAGTTAGAGGTAATCGTTACAGATGTGTTCTAACCCTAACAATTATCACTAACCTTAACATTTAACCCTAACATGCGACTATGGACACAAAGTTCCTGCACTACTTTGATGCGACGTGAGTGCCAGTGAATGTAAAGTCGCATAAAAGTCACACTACATGAATAGAACTGTCTTACATTCCTATTAGCCAAAAAACGCAGAATGCATTACAAAAATTTAACACTTGTACTTTGGTGCAGGTCCACTGAAGACTATTACACACAAAATGCAATCTGCTGTGTGAAAATAGTCCCCGACTCTTTCCAAAAAAAATGCACAGGATCAAAACACAGATGTGAACTAGATCCATAGGAAATCATGCTAAATGGACAGTAGTGTGTTTCTGCAAAACGCACTAAAAAAAAAAAAAAAAAAAAACACAAAACACACCACCCACATAGCTGTGAACCAATAGTAAATATATTTCCAAAGATTTGGGTGGAAAGGCTTTAGGTACCTGGTGTGCTGCCAAACTGGTGAGGATAATATGGATATTGCAAGCTAGGGAAAGTTGTAGTAAAATTTGTATGAAAAATAGGTTTTTTTTGACCAGAGGGGGGGAAAAAAATAAATAAATAAAAAAAAAAAAGAGGGGGGGGGTGTTGAGGGAGAGGGGCTTCCCCTTCTGCCCCCCTTTTCTCTTTTATTTTAATTCATTTGGGGCTCCTATGCTGATTCAACTTTCATCTGATATTGTAACCATTGTAATGTTTGTGTATATATTTTCATTTATATGTTTTTGTTTTGTATTTCATTTTTTTATTATATTGTTTTAGTTACACAAGCACTTATGCTGCAATAATGAAGTGGATCCTAAAGAAGCCCTCCTTAGGGGCGAAACGTGTCGATCTTTATACACTTCAACACTTATTTATTTTAGGTACTTAAAGCGCCGTCAATTTATGCAGCGCTTTACATTGTAATATTTATTTAGTACATTCACGTCAGTCCCTAACTCTCAAGGGGCGTACAATCTAAGGTCCCCAACAGTATTTTTTATTATTTTTGGTTTCTATTTGATTGCAACCTTAAAATCCCAATTTTTCCATGGTTTTTCTGCCCTCTGCCCCCTCATCTTTAGGGATTTTGTAAAACTTGATTATGTTTACTTACATGTGAGGTTCTGTGTGACTACATAGGGTCCATGCTCCACAAAGAGACCAAACATAGACGTTCCACCAGGTCCTCCCTGAAGCCAAAGCAACACTGGAGCTGTGTCTGGGTTAACCTATATGTAATCAAATAGGAAGAAAATACAATTTGGATAAAACAAGGATTACTATATTTTAGCACATGGCTATACAGCAAGTCATGCAAAATGTTTACAGTATGCATAGAGGAACAGAGAATGTTAGCTATGCCAAAGAAGGGAAAGCTTAGCATTTAAAGCAACGTTTACTCGAACAGTCTTGAGATGGATTAACCTGCTTAGAAACTAAAGCAGACGTCTTTAAAATACTGGACTTTTTTTTTTTTTTTATATACGGTAGATGTCTTGTGCAGTATAAAGAACATCCACTCAGGTTTCACTATTTTGACATAACTTCCGAAATGTTTGCTAAAAAGAAAGAGAGAAAACAGGACTGGCCTGAACTAAGAGATTTCAAACATCTAAAAATCTTGCAGTCATGAAAACGTTCTGAGATGTTCAGCTGGCCAGCCTCCAAAAAGCCTTTCACTCATTGTTTTGTAAAAACAGATTACAGCTTCATCTTTTATTTACAGGGAGTTGCCAAGTTTCTGTACTGCCTAGTAAGTAAAACTGTATGACTGACTGTATGAGTACATTAGAACTCAACATACAGTATGATGTAAAAACTATAAAGCAGAGGTATCTTTATTGAAAGTTGGCTCTCAAGCCCAGTTCACACTAATGTGATGCAGGAAACACCCAGGAAGTGCCGTGTTTAATGCATCGCAATTGTACTGTGCTCATGTGATCTGCTGCAGGTGTCAATTAAAACTTAACATCCCCAAAGCAGGTTGCAAAATGAAGTGCGATTGCCTGAATCAGATCACATGGGTATAATCGCACTGCACAGAATCACATGTGATGGGACTGAATTCCTGTGCGAATCACATGCGATGGGACAGTGTGAACTAGGGCTAAAACTGATCAGTAGATCCAGAGTTAGTCTAGCTTCACACCTATGCGTTTTCTGCTGAGTTTTGCAGAAATGCACAGCAGTCTATTTAACATCATTTCCTATGGGACAGGTTCACATCTCTACATTTTTACCCGGTGCGTTTTTTGGAAAGGGTAAGGGGCTTTTTATTCTTTAATGTAAAACATTGCGTTTTTGGTTCTACAGACTTCAATGGAGACGCTGCAGAAAAGCACGTAGTGTGTTTTTTACGTGTTTTGCATTTTATTCTGCCCAGCAACAAGTTAAAAAAAAAAAAAAAAAAAAAACGCATCAAAAAAGCATGTGCAAAAATGCAAAGAGCACTGCAGAAACAGAACACAAACTGCATAGGTGTGAACCTAGCCTTATAGGCAGCTGCAGTTGTATGCAAGTCATAACTGCATAGAGAAAAAAAAAAAAAAAAAAAAAAAAAAAAAACCACACACACAAAAAGTACAAAACTATTGATCTTTGCAGCTGCCCATCACATTGAATGACTGATGCAGAAATGTTGCAGGACCACACTAACTTTTGCTCTGTAAAAGGTAAGAAGGGAGGTGCAAACTTCTCCTGTGCTAGGTTATTTTAGGGGAAACAACAAAAATCAGAGAAGGTTTTTGAATCAGCCGACACTGATCCACTTCAGTACAACCAGCCTGTCAGTTTTTTCTTTTGTCCATTGTATCTCTGCAGGTGGGGAAGGTCCCCTGTGGACAGGACACAATAGCAGTGTGGGAGAGATTCCTTCAGTCAATTTATTCTCTCTTGAGAAGAGGAGATTAAGGGGGGATATAATCAACATGTATAAATACATCAGTGGTTCATATAGTGAACTCGTCCGTGTAGAGCTATTCACCCTGAGGTCATCACAGAGGACAAGGGGGCACTCTTTACGTCTGGAGGAAAAGAAATGCAATATCCAAAACACGGAAAGGTTTCTTCATGGTAAGAGCTAGGAAACTGTGGAATGGACTCCCTCAAGAGTTGGTTCTGGCCAGCTCAGTGGATTGCTTTAAAAAAGGCCTGGATTATTTCCTAGATACACAGAATATAACATTTATAGGTAAAGTTGATCCGGGGAATATCCGATTGCCTCTCCGGGGAACAAGAAGGAATTTTTTCCCCTGCAGCAGCAAAATTGATCAGGTCTTGTTGGGGGGGTTTTTTTGCCTTCCTCTGGATCAACTGTGGGTGTAGGATTATAAACTTTTTTTTTTTTTTTTTTTTTTTTAATGGTTGAACTGGATTTTTAGCCAGAATAACTATGTAACGCTGACTGTGTCCATAGCGGGGGGGGAAAAATATCGAGCAATTTTTCACAAGGCATGCAAGGGGATCAATGCAAGGCATGCAAGATGTGTATATTTGACCAAGGTACATTTTATTAAAGGATAATACATGACCATTTTCAAATCATCAGACTATGCACATGTATGATAGGAAGACTAATTTCACTGCTATACAGCACCATCTAGTGTACATACTGTACCAACTGTGCTATTGCAGCGCCTCATTCTTTTTTCAGTCAAGGCACCCTTTAAAATTATGGATAACCTCAAGGCACCCCATTCTAAAATGTGAAAAACTATTCTACACATATCCACACACATAGTACATCCAGCGTTAGAGTGATTTATTCTTGCAAAGCAAATATACATTTGCCCACTGGTACAGAGTATTCCAGTGAGTCTCTCATTTTCTCTCCCTTACTCTGCTAATGTGACCCCAATGCTGACAGAGAGAGGCAGGGGAACGCCAAAAAAGGATGATGAGCATGCACCCGACATTCTCCTCCTCAACTGATGTCATTGGTTGTTAGGATGCCGGGAGATAGAAGGTCAGAAAAGTGCATAATGAAAACCTGTGGCTTTGTGTACTGAAAGGCAGGATTGATCCACCTGCTGGCTTGTACACAATTTTGGGGCAATTTTAAGGCATTTTGCCAAGGCACCCCTAAAGGAGCCTGAAGGCATCCTGGATGAAAGGCTGTGTTAGAGAAATCAAAAACACTATCAAAGTAATAAATACGAACATGAGTCCCCTTTGGATTAGGAGCAAGCTTGTAACAGGAATATTTTAAATTTAGGGTTTACTGCCTGCTTTCTCAATGTTGTCCCCAGCGTGGTTCACATTTTTGGTGTAATGTGTTTCGGTGCATTGTAGATGAATTGCGTGATTTAGGTGCATTTAAAAAAGGTGTGGGTGTTTCGTTATATAGATTTTATTTTGTACAAGAACAATTTCCAAAATTTTGACAGAACTGAGTTTTATAGAACATTTGTTTAGCTGATTACATGAAAGTAAGGTTAATAATACAACTTAGATTGCAAAATCTTCAGTTTTACTCAACTTAGTTCATGCAAAAATGAATACACCCCACAACAAACACTACTACACCTAAATATTTTGTATGATCTCCACGATTTGTAAGGCTAGCACAAAGTCTTCTAGGCATGGAATGAACAAGCCGGCGACATATTGCAACATCTATCTTTCTCCATTCTTCAAGAACGGCCTCTTTCAGAGCTTGGATGCTGGATGGAGAGTGATGCTCAACTTGTCTCTTCAGAATTTCCCATAGGTGTTCTATTGTGTTCAGATCAGGAGACATACTTGGCCACTGAATCACTTTCACCCTGTCCTCCTTCAGAAATGCAACAGTGACCTTTGATGTGTGTTTTGTGTCATTGTCATGTTGGAAAAGTGCACTAAGACCAAGGGCACGGAGTGATGGTAGCATCTTCTCTTTTAATAGAGCAGTACATCTGTGAATTCATGATACCATCAATGAAATGCAGTTCCCCGGCATCAGCACTCATGCAGCCCCACAGAAGGACACTGCCACACACTATATTTCACTGTAGGCACCATGCATTTTACTTTGTACTCCTCACCTTTGTGAAGCCAAACAGTTTTGAAGCCATCAGTTCCAAAAACATTTATATTGGGCTCATCACTCCAGGGTACAGAGTCCTAGTAGTCTTCTGCTTTTTCAGCATGGGCACAGGCAAATTCTAGGTGGGCTTTTTTGTGCATCGGCTTCAGAAGAGGCTTCCTTCATGGATGACACCCATGCAAGCCATTCCTCTGCAGTGTACGCAGTATCGTGTCACAGGAAACACTCACCCCACTGTGCCTTTCTGATTCTTTAGCCAACTACAGTGAACTTGCATGGTAATTTTCTTCAACCCTTATCAGAAGACGCTCCTGTGGAGGGGTTACCTTCCATGGATGGCCTGGATGTCTGAGATGGTTGCAGTTCCTTCTTTGTTAAATTTTTGTGTCACTTTTGCTACAGTATTCTGTCTGATAAGTAAAGCTTTGCTGATCTTGTTGCCTTCACCTTTCTTATGTAAATAAATTATTTTATTTCTCAGGCCTGGTGCCATTGCTGACAGCATGAAATGGGAAGGGGTTTTCTGTAAAGTAACGCCCTTTTATAATCAACTGTCTGTTGGACACCTGTTTAATGAATAATTAGACTCACCTGTAGTTGAATTCTTGTTAATTAGGATTTTGTTCTCTAAAATTTAGCTTTGCTCCTAAGACTTTCATTGGGGTGTATTCATTTTTGCAACATGGTCTTGAATAAGTTTGTTAGGAAAAATACTTTTCTGTGTGTGCAAATTAACAAACCTTGTTTGCCATCAATGGCCCGCATTTATGGGAGTATTTTGTAATATAGTGTCTCATAGAAAAATTTTGATTCTGAAAAGGAAAGTAAAGGTTTTCTGACAAATCTGTTTGGGTGTACTCGTTTATGCTGAGCAATGTAGGTACAATTATCTGGAAGCTGCAAAGATATGACAAGCAGGACATTTTTAAAGCACAACTGAGTTTCCTGCCATGTTTCGAAGAGGATGAGTGAAGAGATTTTCCGGCATCCCAACAATATTTTGTCCGAAGCATAGTCAGTAAACAGTAAGGGAGTCCATGGCTTAAAAGGAGTAAGATGGTACTTTGCAGACTGGTGTGAGATTAGATGAGAGTAAATTGCAGAGATGGAATAGTTATCCTGACGTAGGAGAGTTTCTATAAAGGAGCGCTGGAAGGGATGTTTTGGAGAATAGCACGTCCATAGGAAAGTCACCAGCTGATAGTA